ATCTTCATTTTCGACTCGAGCTCATTCCATCTTCGCCGACATTTTTTGATTGCTTCCTACAACTTCGACATTTTCGACTTCTTCGACTGCAACTCACCGAGAGTCTCATCAGTGATCCAATCTTCCTTCTTGTCGCGTCCAAGCGCGAATCTACCATGTGTGATTCTTTACCCAAGGCCTCACCACAACTCGATCTTTCCTGCCCTAACCCGACCAACCTTCTCCCGCTGAAATAGAGCACGATTCTTCTCTGTTCAGGCCAAACCTACTGCCCAAAGCCCGTCTTCCTCAATATTGTTGTTCAGACCGAGAGCTCCCCTCAGCTTTTCTTATTCGAGTCGAGCATTCCATTATGTCCAGACGAAATATTATTGGCTTACCCGAGCACTTGTCCGAGGCAATCTTTGTTCTTTGTGCATCGCTACAGCCACTTGTCCCTATGCACATAACAAAAAGTCGAATTTTGGTTTTCTTTGGACTTTGTTTTTTGGGTTTCTTAGTATTCTATGACTATAGGTTGATTTCGATCAACAACTTTCTTGGCAATCAACTTGTAAGTGACAATTCTATTTAGAATGTCTTCTAAAATCTTAAATATCAGATTACGGAAAAGAATTATGCAGCATAGAAAGTTCAGTTCAAGATGTTTTTGAAAGAGGAGCTTTGGGGTCATATGATGGATCTTCTCCAGCAGCTACAGAGCCGAAAGATCTTGGTCAATGGGAGGAAAAAGATGCTCGGATTGTTTCTTGAATTTTATGATATTGAGGCTCATATGGTGACAATTTACAATCATTTTATATGATTAAGAAAATGTAAAAATAATTGAAGTGCGTCAACAATCAAGATAATACTGCAAGACGCTTTCAATTGAAACTTGATATGAGTAATTATAGTCAAGGTAATCTCTCAATTAAACAATATTATTTTGACTTTCTAAATTTATGTAGTGAATATTCTGACATTATCTATGCCAATCAATTAAACAATATTATTTTGACTTTCTAAATTTATAGAGTGAATATTCTGACATTATCTATGCCAATATGTCAAAGGAGAACTTAGCTAGTCTTCAGGCTATTCATGAAGTGAGTCGCCGCGATCAATTTTTGATGAAGCTCAGACCTGAATTTGAAACTGCTCAAGTTGGGTTGTTGAATAGAGATCTGGTTCCTTGTTTGGATGTATGTTTTAATGAATTACTGCGCGAAGAACAAAAATTGACGACACAAACTGCTATTGATACAGCTGGTGGATCGTCAAAAAAAGTTAATGCTGCATATATTGCTCAAACCCGAGGGAAGGAAACAAAGCAGTGTTACAACAATAAAGAATTTTGTCATATTGCTCGCCAATGTAGTAAGTTCTGTAATTATTGCAAGAAAAACAGACATATTATTAAGGACTGCTCTACACGACCTCAAAACTGCAAACCACAAGCCCTTCATACTGCGGTACCCGACTCTCACAATCTTGGTTCGACATCCACAGTTGTCGGTGATAATCAGTCTATTCGCACATTAGATATGGTTCAACAGATGATTCTCTGTCTTTTCTGCTCTTAGTCTTCAAGAGAAAGACAAAACTACTACTTCTGTTCTTTCTCCTTGGTTTATTGATTCCGACGCCAGAAATCATATGACCGACACATCTGATATATTACATAATCAACGCTCGTATATTGATACCCAATATATTCAGATTGCTGATGGAAATAATATTCTGATTACGAAAGTTGGTGACATTAGCTCATCTTTCCGACATGCCTTAGTTTCTATTGGTCAAATGGTGGATAATAATTGCGATGTACACTTTTCTTGTGATGATTGTATTGTGCAGGATCAGATGTCGAGGAAGGTGATAGAGAAGGGGTCTAAAATAGGTATGTTATTTCCATTACAACTTAACATCCCCCAGACTTTGTCATTAGTTTATTCAATCATTGAAAACATCTGGCATAAACAATTAGATCAAACAAAAAATGATGTATTGAATCATTTGTTGTAAAGTGGTGTTTTTGGTCCTACAGATAAAAACATATTAATGGATTATTCTTCTTGTAAATTGGGCAAAAGTAAGACATTGATTTTTCCTATTTTGGACAGTCGTGCTATAAATATTTTGACATTATTCATAGTGATATTTGGGGAATTACAACGGTTATTTCACATGTTCAGTATAAATATTGTGTGATATTTATTAGCGATTACGACCAATCACATGGATCTATTTTTTGCATTATAAAACAAAAGTGTTTACCATGTTTCAAACTTTTATGATATATATTGACACTCAGTTCTCCACTTATATTAAAACCTTACAGATTGACAAAGGTGGTGAATACATGTCTCATGAGTTTCAAACATTTATTCATAGCAAGGGTATTATCTCACAACATTTATGTCCTTATACACCTCAGCAGAATGAAGTTGCAGAACAGAAAAATCATCTGTTGGATATAATGCGCACATTGTTGTTAGAATCTCTGTTCCAACTAAGTTTTGGGCAAAAACTTTATCTACTGCAGTTTATCTGATTAATCATTTACCATCTCAACAATTGAAGTTTGATTCTCCCTACTATCAATTTTTTGTAAACATCCTAATTATCATACATACTTTCAGATGTCTTTGTTTTGTTCACTTACATGCCAATGAACATCATAAGTTCGCAACACAATCTGTTCGATGCCTTTATGGGTTACAATCCTAATCATAAGGTTTTTGTGTGTTAAGATTCGATTAATAATCGATGATGTATCTCTCGGGATTTTCTTTGAACATGAATACTATGTTTAGAATCATCTTTCGACATCAGACACTATTATACTTCCTCACTTTGATGAGTCCTCTTTTGATAAACGATTCAAGCCTGAAATTCTCTATAGACGACGTCTGACCCCTTCATCTCTAGTCCCTCCCAACCCTGCTTCTGAAAATGCTCCAATAATTTTTCGACGATCAACTCGACACATTCATCCTCTAGGCTTGTTTGCTACACTCACATGATTTGTAAGCTCAAAAGGTCCTTGTACGGTTTGAAACATGCTTCACGGACTGGATTGAAAAATTTCGTAATACTCTTCTTAGTTTTTCTTTTATTCAAAATCAGTATGATTCTTCATTATTTATTTGCAAGAGTGACAAGATAATTGTGTTGTTATTAGTCTTTGATGATATTGTCATCACAGGATCTGATACTTAATTGATATTTCAGTTACAAAAGCGTCTTCAGGGTTCTTTTCATAGGAAGGATTTGGGGTCTTTAACTTATTTCTTAGGCCTCAAGGTTCATTCTTCTCCCGCTGATATTTTTCTTCCCCAACATAACTATATTAAGGAACGCATTGCTTTGGCTGGGCTCCAAGAGGGTCGTCCTGTTGAAACTCCTTTGGAAGTGAATGTTAAATATCAATGGAATGATTGTGACTTTCTATCTGATGCATCTCTGTATCGACAACTTGTTGGGAGTCTCAATTATCTAACCATCACAAGTCCTGATATTTCATTTGTCGTGCAACAAGTTAGTCAATTTATGCAGACACCTAGACATCTTCATTTAGCTACAGCTCGACGTATTGCTAGGTATTTGAAAAGTACTTCTCAACGTGGCTTGTTCTTTTCTGCGAAGTTTCCTATTCGCTTAATCACTTATAGTGATGCTGATTAGGCTGGTTGTTTTGATACACGTCGATCTATTACTGATTGATGTATATTTTCAGCAACTCTTTAACTTATTGGAAGAGTAAGAAACAAAAATGCGTGTCTAAGTCTCTACTGAGTCTAAATATCGTGTTATGTCCTCTGCTTGTTCTCAGATCATTTGGCTTTGAGGTTTGTTGGTACTATCCAGATTACTGCTAATATTGTCTTTCATGAGCGCAAGAAATATGTTAGACCAAACTGTCATTCTATTCGAAAAGCTTATGATAATGGTGTTATTTCTCTTCGTCATATCTCTTATAAACTTCAAACGGCTGATATATTAACTAAGACCCTTTATTGACAACATCATCAGTTCCTTGTTAACAAATTGATGTTTCTTGATCAGTCAGCATCAATTTGAGAGGGGATATCAACCAAGAATAACTGAAATCGGGTAAAATTAAGAGTTTCCTTATTTGAAATTGCTGAATTAAATTCTGTAACTTAATTGTACATATTTTTCCTTATAGCTGAATATTTGGATTATGAATATGTATTATTACAAATTATTATATATTACTAGGCTACATAAAATAGATAATACAGACCATTAGTTATTGAAATGAAAGCAAAGGCAAAAACATTCAGCCTATTTACTCATAACATTGACAAAAAAGGGGATCATTATATGAAATAAATATTCTACATTTAGACTCTCATGTGCCTCTCTCTTTTGTCCTATGCTCTATTCCTTCGGTGCAATTTAAAGGAAAATCTTGGATTCAACACATATGTAACACCTAAACTTTGATATATTCCCACATAAAACTAGAATCTTTGGAAACTCATCGAAAATATCACTTTTACTTACTATTTAAAAGTAAAATAACCTTTTCATGCATCGATTTATGCCACCAAAATGTTATAAATATAAATATGAAAGTTTGAATGTTAGATACGTAAATACATAAGATATCCATGAAAATTTCCAAAAATAAAATAAAAAAAGGACTTGGAAAGAGTTGAAGAAGGATCTGAAGATTTGCAGGGGACATCCAAAAGTAAATAGTCATGGATTAATCTTGTTAACCTAGAACATTACTATGGGAGCAGCTTATCAGCCAAATATAACATGTGGCATTGAAAGATCATATTTGTTAAAATATCAATTAAAACAAGATAGTGAATTCATCATCTTCTCCATCAGTTCTGATTAACGATGGAGTTCTGTTTAAGCTGTTAATTTGTATTTGTAATTAATAATGCTTCACAATGTACAGAGCTAAAATCATCATCCAAATTAACTGAAAATAGACGAAAACAAAAAATTGGTCTCATCATGTCCTGTCAACTTACGGAAATTAGATTCAAGAAAATAATGTTTGCCTCATCCACACCCTTTTCAAGAAGCAGTGAAATAGCTTGAACTGCTGAATTTCCTGTAAGGTAGAAGTAAAATTAACAGATCCACAATACTATGATGATAAAATAGCCTCAGCACTCATATATTGCAGCAGCAAATTCTTTTTTTTTTAAATTATTTTTTTTTTTAAAATACAAAATTCAATTTGACGCCATTTGGTGCAAGTATCTTGTAAGCAAGGAAAACAAAATAGATGCTCCTGTCTATTAATGTGTCGTAGCGGTGGTATGCCAAATGTACGAGGATAAGAGAAAAATCTCCTGCTAAGTACCGGAATCCTCCCGAGCACTACTTTCAACATCAATAGAATTGTAGAGCTGTTTAAAATTAACCATTAAATTTGTCATACAAAGCATTGCATCAAATATGCATTCACCGGTTGATGCTTGAGTACCATTCCCATCCGGGATTAGAGTCCAGATGGGTGGGAATTCCACCTCAGAATATCCCATTATGGGATTTTTCCTGCCCACATCGGCAGGCTGGCTCTTGTAAGCCCCTTATTTGATTTATTTGAAATAGAATTATGATTGTTAATTGTTTTTAATATAAATATATTAAATCAGAACTTGCCGAACACTTTTAGTTTTGATGTTATGCATTTGAAAATGGTTCTAAGAAGGGGGTGTTGTATTCTCTTTCCTTTGCAAGTGATGTGCAGGCTGGAATAGATGGTTGATCCTCCTTGACGTTAGTAGTTTCCAACATCATCTCTAGCAAATTTCCTTCAGCAGTTTTTTGGGAGGACAACATTTTTAACCCCTATATCAACCCCAAATCCTATTTCATTATCAAATTTTCTTGTCACCTAACACCCTGACCACATTTGTTGATTCTTAAACATCTAGTAGGAATCATAGATCGGGGTAATTTGAAATCTCAAATTCTAATCCCAAATTTTAACCTAACGATATATCTCTTTGTAGGTTCAAATTTTATGCCCCAACCCCTAACTACACAAAATGTAACATTTCAAACTACACTGAAATAGTCCCTACACCCTCCACCTAAATCTCAAACTTTCATCCAACCTAAAACCTATACCTTTACCGTAGCTGAAAACCTTGACTTGAGGACCCATCCTGCCACCAAAGAGAAATACGCAACGATGTGTCCAAGAGCTCATAATAGAGAATATGTAGATGAAAATCCTTCATTAACAATGAAGGCTTATTGACTTTCAGAAAAGACAATTTGTGAAAGTCATTTATAGCCATCATGGTGATCCACGGATTGGGGGCAGGAAGTTAATCCCTTCCACCAAAAAAACTCCATTAACAAAGATCCAATATTTAGGTTATTTGGATTGAATATCAGAGAGAAAATTGTGACTTTGGCAATTTGTCTCTGAATTTTAACAGTTGCATAAATCCAAAAGAATTTATTGAATGGCTCCAAAATGTGGAACGGATTTTCGAGTACAAAAATATTACACAAGATAGGAGAATCAAATTGGTAGCCATCGAACTCAAATAGAGTGATTCCATGTGGAGAGAAAATTTGAAGTGCTTATAGTAGAGAAAATAGAAGAGTAAGATTACTACATAATGTGAAAACATAGTACAAATATCTTCCATTATTATTAGCAGTAGATGTTCCTAAAACTCCAAAATCTGCATTATAGAAATTTATTTGTGGAAGTGTATATGATTAAATTTGAACAACTCATGCTGAAATGTGACTTAGTAAAGCCAGATAAGTACAAAGTAGTGTGCTCCCTGGAAGTATTGAAGCCATCCACAAGTAATATAGTTCAATTATAAGTGTATTTATCCCTTCATGATGTGCAATCCTTAGCTTTAAAGACAGAGAGGCAACATCATCATATAAAAACCACCACACCCTACAACCAACACTTAGCCGTAGGGTCAAGTAGTAAGGGTACACCTGCTAAAGTACCCAAATTGGCCCCATGGAGAAATCAACCTTTAGATGGAGAGAATATGGGTAGTTCCTTCTACCCTTCAAGCTATGAGGTGTTTAAAGTGCCATGATTTTGAGCACAGCATAATATTGCCTAAGAATGAGAATGATCATTCACTAAACAGTGAGCACTAGAAGAAGTGTGAAGTGACACTAAGGAAAAGTTAGCAAATGAGGATATGAAGGAGTAAATGTGGGGTAGGACATAGAGGAAAACCTCACGATCAAAGCAGCGTAAGAAGTCTTGCGACGAAATTGACTCCTGTATTCATACTTTGATCGAACCGGTTCATGTTTTTCCGATAATGAGTTGGTCGATGAAGTCTTGCGACGAAATTGACTCCTGTATTCATACCTTGATCGAACCAGTTCATGTTTTTCCGATAATGAGGAGTTGGTCGATCCGCTTGGGCAACTCCTAATTATCCTATTACTATGTATTTGACTTTTGTGTTTTAGAGTTTCAAGTTGGACATGTTTCTATGCAAGCCCTTATTGGCGTCTTGATTTCTTCCGTATAGGGTTGTATCCAAAGGCGAGTGATGCTCCGGCTGTAGCTCGTTCCTGAGGGATTATTTATCCTTGACCTTCCATTTCCCACACCCCCTGCTTCTCTGTCACGCCTCTTTTCTCACTGCAGCTGAGAGCTATTATTGTTGTTCTTTGCTGTAGTTCTCCTCTTTGTAGACACCTTCATTCCACAATCCCTATTGTAATCTTTCCGAACAAGCGGCCAACCCTCCCTCTTGCTGTCTCTGACAAACTACAGTCTTCCAGCCGCCCCAGACCAACTGTCCTTCCCGTTTTACTACAACTTTCCCCTTCCTAGCCACTGTCTCGGCCTCCTACATCGATGCCCTCATTATCCCAGCCCTTCACCTTCATTGTCGCCATAACGCCCAAACTTCAAGAAACATATAATTTTTGGCAAAACCTAATTTTTTCATCTCCCGGAATTTGATCGAAATAATTTTATTAAATTATACGTATGAAATCGATCAATTCCATATAAAACAAGATACACGAATTATGAACAGATTAGGAGATATTTAAGTTTGAAGTTATAAGTATAATTATTTTAATTAAATCTTAATTCTATTTCCTAATCTCATGTACCCTTACTGTTCCCCACCGTCTCATGCCATATTATTCGCTGGATGCATCGTATTTCCTCCCGAGCCTTCTTATTCTTCCCCTCTCTCGAATTCATGCTCCTTCAGTCGGTTTCCCTCACGTGATAGCTTCCTTGCTTGTCTGGAGGTGTCCAACAAGCTCCTACGCGATTGAGCACTGTAACGACCACCTAGGAGCCGTAGAGCACGATCTAGAGTTCTAGGGCAATTTTTGTAAGCTTGAATTCCTCTTTCACATTATTTGAGACTTTCATTTACTTCCTCACCCCTCCATTTTGAAATTTGCCTAATTTTTCACACTTTTCTCGTTTCTCATAGTCGTCGGAGCACCAAATTTCTCTGGGAAGCTTCAAAAGTAAGTTGAAAGCTTCCATATCGATTTTAGCACGATATTAGTGACGGGGAAGTGAAGGTTAAAAGGTTGAGAAGTGTTGGGGAGAATTTTTGTGTTTTTAGAAAAGACGAATATATGTCAAGAAGCCCTTTTGAGGTATATTTTGACAAATAAAGTATATTTTTTGGTTAATTCATGTTATGAGTCAAATTTTATGAAACCCTATGTTAGTTACGAGCCTCATGTTGTCTTTACAAGAAAACGAGTTTAAGACTAGCGTGTGGGCACTCGTTGTAGGGCTGCTCACGGATAGATAAGAGGTATCATGGATAGATAAGAGCATATATTTTATTGTTGGCTTTCCACGAACCCAACAGAGCAACGATTATGTTATGGTGATATTGGATTGCTTCTCCAAGATGAAATGTTTCATACGCTATATTAAAAACTAATACTATAGGGAGATAGTCATGTTACTGTGCCAATAACAATCAAAGTCAAAAAGAGATTTGAAATTTCAGAATCATTATTGGAAGATCATATGAGGCAAGCTCGACACAAAATTCCAGATCAGTTCAACTGTGCATCCTTAAACAAATAGACAGATGGATGTGACGAACCACAACTAAAAAAATCCTTAGCTGATTTGTGAAAAGAATATCGGACAATGAGATTTTATCCTTACCTGAATTAAGTTTACCTAAAACAGGTTCAATAAGCTAGTGAAAATACAACAACCACTTTAAGATTGTATACAGATGAAATCCTCACACCAAAGCAGTTTAGTAATGATGCAGAGGCTTACACGAATAGATAAGTAATAAAATTACTAAGTAGAACACCAATTATTGGAATTTAACAAAATCATGTAAGTTAACGTCTTCAAAGAAGATAATACGGTGTGGATCAGAATGAAGAAGAGAATTCTTACATATTTATTTAGGAAGATCAAGATTAGGGTCGATGGTCCATTCAAGATTGTCAAGAGATTAATAACAATGCCTATAAGAATGATCTGGTTGGAAACTACAATATTTCTACTACATTAACGTTGTTGACAAGTAAACTTAATACAAGGATCAAGAAGCTTTCAGAGAAAAAATGTGAAACTTTTGTTGCTCAGGAAGAGTAACACAAGAGTGTGACTCTTGTCAATGCAGGAGTGAAGCAGTGACATGGGAAGGAATTCTGCCCGAAAAAAATCCAAAAGAAATAAATGCTCAAAAATTTTATCTGTACACATTCATAACATGGGCTTAAATAAGGTTTTATAACATTTACAAATAAACCCATAAACTTCTTCAATATTCTCTTTTTAACTATATCAAACTAAATAAGGTCTAATTCTTAACATTCCCCCTCAAGATAGGCAAAAGATATCCACTAAGCCCATCTTGCAACATAACCTAGACAAATTTAATGAAGTACTTTAGTGAGGCAGTCAGCCACTCGCAGTTTAGTGGCTACATGACTTAGCTCCGGTTATTTAGCTTTTCCTTGAAGAAGAATCTATAAATCTCCACATGTTTAATTCCATCGTGTTGCACCAAGTTGCTGGCAATGCTGATTACTGACTTGCTGTCGCATCACTTCATTTTGAGTTCCTTGGTCCACCTTGAGCTCGAT